TTCTCATCTTGATTATTTTTATTTTTTTTAAATGTTTTATTTTTGAGACAGCATGAGCAGGGGAGGGGCAGTGAGAGAGGGAGACACAGAATCTGAAGCAGGCTCCAGGCTCTCAGCTGTCAGTACAGAGCCTGACGTGAGGATTGAACCCACAGACCACAAGATCATGACCCGGGCTGAAGTCAGTCACTTAACCAACCAAGCCACCCAGGCGTCCCTTCTCTTCTTGATTTTTAAGAGCTATCTGTATTTTAGGGAGATTAGCCCTTTATGCAGTGTTTTCTCCCACTTGGTTGTCTTTTCAACTTTGCATATAGTGATTTTTCTATGTATAATTGCACACGTGTGTTTTCACATAATCCAGTGTATCTGCTTTATTGCTTAAAGATTTTAAGCTATAGGCTCCCCACTCCCAGGTTATAAAGGAGCTTACCCACATGTACCTCTAGTATTTGTATGATTTTGCTGTTGTACATTTAGACCTGTCCCATTTGTAGTAGATTCTGGTATACAATGAGACATGGAATCAGTTTTATCTTTTTTTTAAGTTTATATATTTTGAGGCGGGGGCAGGGGGAGAGGCAGAGAGAGAATCCTAATCAGGCTCCACACCGTCAGTGCAGAATCATGAGATCATGACCTGAGCCGCAACCAAGGGTCAGATGCTTAACCAACTGAGTCACCCAGGCGCCCCAGTTTTATCTTTTTGCAAATGACTGTCTGGTTGTCCCCATATCCTCTATTAAAAAGTCCATCTTTTGGTAGTGATTTGAGATCATATTCCCCAGACCTTTATCATTAAGATACTAAATTTCCATATGTACTTGGACATACTGTTCTGTTGTTTCTGGACTCATTTTGTTCCATTGGCCCATCTGTCTGTTCCCATGGTGATGTAACCTTCTCTAAATTGGAGACTTTATGACATGTTTGAACATACAGAACCTCCTCGTTGCTTGTCTTTGCCAAGGTTTTCCTAGATACTCTTGCTTATTTGTTTTTCCTCATAAACCTTAGAACCAGCTTGTCTAGCTCCAGAAAAGATACCTGTTGATTTTTTAAAATTGAAAGTGTGGTAAATCTATGAACTTGGGTGAAGTTGACATGTTTATTGCTGTTGAATCACCCTGTGCACAAACAAGGAACATTTCCCCCATTCGTTTCAGTTTCCTTTCCATAAGACTCTCGGCAGGACCCCTGCAGGACTGTGTGGGAGGGCTTTCTCAATGTGGATCTCAGACATTTCGTGTAGGTTCATTCCGAGTTGGATCCCTTGCATCGCTTATAATGGGCTCTTCTCTCTCACTCTTTGCCAACTGGATACTGTTTGCATATATGGAGGCTAGAATTTGTTGTTGGTAATTTTATACCTTGCCCTCTTACTGAACACTTTATTGTCTTTATTCATATTAGCTTTTATTTTCTTGGGTTTTCTAGGTGTGCTTGAATATCATCTGCAAAAAGGAGATCATTTATCTCTTCCTTAGAGTATGTGTATTTTTATTTTTTTATGTTTATTTTGAGACAGAGAGACATGGAGAGAGAGAATCCCAAGCTCTGTGCTGACAGCGCAGAGCCCAACACGGGGCTCGAACCCACAAACCGTATCGTGACCTGAGCTGAAATCAAGAGTCGGGAGCTTAACCGACTGAGCCACCCAGGCGCCCCTGAATGTTGTTAAAGCTTTACATTATATATTGCCAGATCTCTTCTTTTAAAAAATATGGTACCAATTTATGTTCCTTCTGGAAATGTTTTGCCACTCCCTTGCCAGCACTGAGTATCAACACATTTTAAATCTTTGCCAGTTTAATACAACCTTCATTCATCCTGAAGAGGACATCCACAGGGCCCCTTCTACACCAGGTGCTGTGAGGGAGGCTGAGGACACAGCGGGGAACAGACTGATCCCGGCGCCCCCACTCTCAAGTCCTTATTCTAGAGTGAGAGGACGCTGTCGTTTGTTTTTTCCTCCCCAGCTTTACCGAGCAGTGACTGACACAAATTGTATAAATTTAGGTTTTACAAAGTGGTGATTTCATATACATTATGAAATGATTGCCACTATTAAGTTAACTACCATAGCCATCACCTCACATGGTTATTGTGGGGTGTGTGTGTGTGTGTGTGTGTGTCGAGAACACTTAAGATCTATTCCCTCAGCCAGTTTCAAGTAGATAGTATTTTTCGCTGTAGTTGCCGTGCTCTGTATGCGGGACCTCCAGAACCTACTCCTCTTATAACGCAAAGTTTGTACCCTTTGCCCCACATCTCATTTCCCCCCAGCCCCTGGCAACCAACCTTCTGCTCTCTGGTTCTCTGAATTCAGTTTTGGATTCCACCCAGAAGTGAGATCGTAATGGGTTGTGGAGCCTTAAGTTTCTAGAAGCTTACAGTTAAGCTTTCCTGAGCCCAGAGGATGGGAAAAGGACTGGCTACCCTAGTGGAGAAACCCTCTTCAGGCCCAGGGAACTCCTGGAAAATCCCCCAGCAGTTATGTAAAACCCATTACCCCCCGCCCCCCCTCTGGGGAGTCTTGGCATCATAAGCCCTCTGGACGCCTCACTTGATGCCCTGCACCACCTGGGTGCTCCAGGAGCCAGGGCCAGAGCCTGCACCTCTCCTGCCCCCCCCCCCCCAACGGTGTGCAAAGGCAGGGCTGGGTGCTGAGGACCCTTCCCCATAGCTGAGATGCAACCAAACGGGTGATAAAGTGGATGGAAGCTCCCTGGAGCTCCTGCTTTCCCGTAAAGACCTACCCTGGGCCTGGCCCCCCAGTGTCCTATGAGAAACCCCATCTATTCACAGAGGGCACTGCCTGTTGACAGAGACCTCCCGGGCCCTGGTTAGCATCCCTCCCACCTCTGGCAGGCTACAGCCCACAGGCCACGGCCCCTTCCTCTGTGCAGCCTGCCCTGGGCAGCCCCGGTTGTTCACATACTTCTTCCCACACGCCTGTGCTCCCAGCTCCACACCTTGCTGTCTGTGTAATCCAGGGCAAGCCGTCTTACCTCCCTGAATGTGTTTCCATCCACACCTCCCAGGCTATTGTGAGGAGTGGAGGAGGGAGTATTTGCACCAGGTCTATGCAGCTGTAGCACAGGAAGGGGCTCCACAAACATGTTTATTGAATGACTGAGTGAAAAGAATGGATGAACCTCACCAGCGAACCCTCTGGTGGCTGGTTTCCCAGTCAGGGGGTCTGAACCAGAGGATTATCACAAACGTGGGCTCCTAAGTGCACCCTTGGTTCGAGATGCAGCCACCCCCGGCCCCCACCACCACCAAATCCCATCGAGGGCCCAGGCCCAGAGTCTATTTCAAGTCGTACTGTGGATCTGCTGGGTGGGGAGCTGGACCCAGAGAAAGGCAGGGCCTGCCTGGCCTCATTCAGGTGGCCGGACCCCAGACTGAGCTTCTCCCCACCCGTCCCTGCTCCTGCCGGCATCCGGATCTTGGCTTGCACATCCCATCTTGGTATCTCAGGACAGTAGGGTGTATGTAGAAAGGGGGATGGGTGTGAGAGGCACAGCCACCACCAGCGCTCGGCCCAGGCAACTGGGACCTCAGGATAAAGGAAATTTCCTTCTCTCTGTATTTATTTTCCACATCCTTGACTTTGAAAGCCAAGCTGGTGTTGATATTTACCTTGGCCGGGCCTCCCCATCTCCCTGGGCCAGCCTCGTGTAAACATGATGTTCCTTCTCAGCTCTGCTAGGGTTGAGGTGGCCTTTTGCAACCAATTCTAGGAATTTTGAAAGTCTGAGGCATAAGTTCAGGGACCAGCCCCCCCAGGGATCCCAGGGTGTGAGGAGCCCTGGGGGGGCCTCCGTGCTGGCCTCGGGCTCCCTCCCAGGGATTCCTGCAGATAGCTGCAGCAAAATAGACCTCTGGGGGACAGCTAGACGGGCCTCCAGGCCTGCTCCCTCGTCTCACAGCAGCACGGCTGAGGAAGCCCCGCTGTCCCCATGAAGGTTGGCTCCAGAAGTTTGGGGTTCACCAGAGACACACAAGGAGGGACAGAGGGAGGATCTGGCTGTCTCCCCTGGGGCTGGTGGGCAGAGAGCTTACTCACAAGGGACAGACAGCTCGTCAGTGCTTGTCCACGTGTGCCATCTGTAGTGCATTTGGCACCTGGACCGCAGCTGACATGCCGCCGGAGAGTGGGAACCTGCCACGGTGGGAAGTGTGTGCGCAGGCAGGCTGGGCCCCCTCAGAGCAAGCGCACGAGCCAGAGATCCTGCGCTCAGTGAGGGCAGACAGTGCACAGCGAGGCGGTTGGAGAGGGTGATTTGGGATGGTGGTCGGTGCTGCAGAAACAAGGCAGCGGGGCCGGTCGGGGCAGGGATGGCTGCTGTGCGGTGGACGGTGGAGGTGAGGGGTGTTCACGCTCCCCGTTCAAATCTCAGCACCCCCGCCCCCAGGCTAGCCACTGGTTCACTCACTCAGCAGTGAGGCCTCAGGTAAATGACCTCCCTTCTCTGGGATTTGCTCTTACTATACAAGAAACAGGGTGTCTGTCCTTAGTGCCAAGGGTGTCTTGAGGCGCGCAGTGAGTCATCTGCAGGTGGGAGCCATCATTCTTCTTGTCATCACCCAGCGCAGGTTTGAGCCCACAAGAGCGGGCACCACCGGCCGGCTGAACACTGAACGTCTCCCCTTCTCTACACAGATCTGGGACATGAGCGACGACGAGACGGTCTGATGCGTCCCACCCTCGTGTGGCTGGCTTCTCCCTGGCTGCCTGTGGAGGACTTCTCTGTTGCCTGAATGCGACTGCCACCTCCAGGATAGGTGACTCTGGGCCCTGCGCCCCTCCCATCTTTCTGGTCCCCTCCTCTGCATACCTTGAGGACCAGGGCCCCCTCTCCACTGCCCAGGAGCTTCTGGGGTTCTCCATTTCTCCTGATTCATGATCCCGCCAGTTCTGAGCTAAATAATAACCTTGGCTTTGGCATTGCCACTGATCTTGGACTTGGTTCCCTCCACGAGTTCTTTTTTCTTCTTCTTCTTCTGGTCAAGTGTTTGATAGTGAAAACTCCCAGGATCCTTCGTACCTTGGCCCCGGCTGGGGCAGCAATGAGGACAGGGAAGAAGTCAGCCCTACACACAGCCAATGGGGAAATGAGAAACCAGCTCCTTCCGGCAGCCACTGTGGGGGCAGCACCAGGGTCCCTGGGCCACGATGCAAACCCGAGAGGGGCCTATGGGCACCAGCGAGGGCTGATGTGCCTGTGAGGTCTGTCAGCCTGGTCTGCTGGAGAGGGAGGGCAGGAGAGCTGACCTCCATGTGGAACAGAAGGGCCCACACTCGTCCCAGTGAACCCAGAACTCCACTATGGACAGACGGCGACCCAGATGGCTCCTCCGCCGCTTGGCCTGTCCTCATGTGTGGGCAGAGCATCTGTCCGTCCCTGCTCAGGGGAGGAAAGAAGTTGCCACTGCCGCCTGGGCAGGTGCCCCTCCTGCCTCGGAGAGGAGGCCTCGGCACCCAAGCCCACTCTCCTGCAGCCAAGTGAGGGGGACGCCTGCCCCACCCAGGGGTGCCCTCTACTGTCTCAGGCCCAGGACCCAGGCTAGAGTGGAGTCTGAGGCTGGCTCTTACAAGAGTGGGGATTCTGCAGGCCAGGTTGTCAGCAGTGTTCCGGCCCGTGTGGGATCTGTTGGTGCAGGGCCATTGAGCCCTCCCCGGGGCCCGCGGGTCACACACACAGCCTGTGGTTTAAGAGCACTTTATTATTGTTCTTAAGGCTACTTTTAAGTACAAAAAAAAAGATGGCCTGCCAAACCTTTTTTTTTTCTTCCAGGAAAACAGGCCACAGAGAATGGTATATTACAGATTTACAAACATGGAGAGAACGGTCAGAACTCACTGCAACGGCGTGGCTCTGTGAAGAACTCACTGTGCTCCTCCCGAGGCCAGGGAGTGTGTCCTTTCCCAGTGAAATGTTTGGTTTTCTGCTTCCCCACTTGCCGGTGCCCCTCCAGGGTACCGCCTATCCCAGATAGGCCAGCGCCCCGGGGCCGTTCCTCCCAAAGCAACGGCCTCGCTTGGGGACAGACTAGATGGCTGTCCCAGGAGCCTGCTCTTCACAGAGCCCACCGGCAGTGGGGTTGTTTTCCTGTGAACGCTCAGTAGCCTGTAGCAATAACAAACTAGTGGCTATTAAGGCAGATGCAGTGTTCTCATAGAATAACTGTGTTCCTGCACTTTTACAGACAAATCTACGACAAAAAAAAAAAAAAAGATCAACTTTTTTTTCCAAACCAAAAAAAAAAAAAATGATTACAATAGGAAAGGGGAAAATTAAATAGCTACATATCATTAACAAATTAATTGTTCTTCAAAAAATACCTACAAATTTCTCTGTACATTCTTTACGCACAGCGTAATGATGGTCTTAAAGTTACCTATATAAAAAAAGTGTTCTCACTGATTTCTTCCTACAGAAAATATAGGGGCCTGAACGCGAAAGCCTGGAAGCCCAGTAAGTGGGAGTGAAATGTGTGCAGGGGCAAGAGGAGAAGGGCTTTTCTTTCGCCTTTTGAAAGACCTGCGGCCACCCTGTGACCACAGCAAGAGCCAATCCGCTGACCTTTTTTTCCCAGTGACCATTTTCAAAATTAACCAGCTAACTTATATTTTTCTTACACTGAAAACCAGCCTGGAGGGCTCCCGCGAGTCCACGGTGCCTCACGGGGGGGGGGGGGGAGGCTGTCACGCCTGTGTCACCAGGGCAGGTATCTTCTTAAGCCCTCTGGTGGGTGAGGCTGGAATGTCGCACGGTGGAGGGGTGGGGGGATAGAAATGTACGTTTAACACAAAAAAGAGGAGCAGCTGTTGAACATCCACAGCTGTGTCCGTCATGCTTTCTTCTTTGCCTAATTTCTAGTTAGTAGCTATTACTATAGCAAACAATAATAAATGCAGTAATAACTGTATAAAGTCAGAGGAATGTATACTGCCTTGGCCCCAGCGTACGAGGAAGCACACAAAATACCATATCACAGATTGTCAGTAATCTGCTGTTCAGCCAAAAGGGTTGAAAAGGAACAGTTTCTGCATGGAGGGAAGTTGGAAGACACAAATCCCAACTCCCCTGGGCACTAGTAATAAGCAGACAGGGATGCAAAAAATAAATGTCAGCCGGCAGCAAAAACTCCAGCATCCTGCACCGCGGCTGACCAATGACTCGACTGCCCGTCTCCAGGGCCGGGCGGCCCCGCGCTGCTCAGGAGTAGTGTGACGACCAAACACAAATCTCAGAGTACAACTGTACCAGCAGTACGTATATCTAGGACTGTAACTGACAAAAATAAACTAATTCTGAAAAGAAGCTAGTAAGTATTAAGGTTCTTGTTTACTATCTATACAATTAATAGAAACCAGCTATTTTTCTCCATTAAAACATGCATCACGTTGAAAGCACTATAGAATTGTCCAACCTCAGCTCTAGTCTAACAAACTGCAGTGTTTAGGAAAGGTAAAAATGCCCGTGATTGGTAGAGTCTGCAGTCCAGTTGCGAGCACCTGAAATCTAGAGAGAAAGACCTATAACCTGTATGAGACTTCCCCTTCCAAAGCTGTTTTGTCTAAATTAAAACAAAACAAAACAAAACAAAACAAAAAAAACACAAATGGTCAGAAATGTCATCCTTAAACCCTTTGTTTTTCAGCAGTTTGCCCTCAGAGTACTAGCATCTCACATAAAGTTGTCAGGCAGGCAACTTTAGCCCTCCTCCAATAGTGCAAATCAGACGCGACAGTTCTCTGTTCTCTTCAAGTAGACGCGCGCGCACGCACGCGCGGGCCGGACCAAACACGCAATGGAAGCTAAGCCACACACACCCTGGTCTCGAGAAGCAAATAAAAAGCACAAAGCATTTGAGTCACCAACGTCATGGCCTGTGACTGAGAAAGCGTGCGCCGTGGAGTCCTGGCCCCCGTCAGGGCAGCGGACCTGCATCAGAGGTCTCTTTGGTAACTGAGGCAGGAAGGTAGGACGCTACATCGGATGCTCCACGTGCAGCTCCTGCTCTCGTGTCGGAGGGCCCCCAGGTACGAATACCAAGCAAGTACAAAACAGAACAAAAATCCCAACGACATGGTTTTTGCGAATAAACCATCCCTTCCCTACCCTTCCCCCTACCCCACCCCCCCACAAATTTTTTTTTTTTTTTTCTGTGTTTTAAGCACTGACTGTTCAAAGCTCAGGCAAACCATGCAGATTGACATCTTGTTCAAGGGTGGTGTGTTCCCTTCACGAGACCACGGAGGGAGAGTGACTGTGGCTGACCATGTGCGCCGAGGGGCTGGAGGGCTGGCCCCTGCGTGAGGCTGACTCGGGGCTGCTGGATGCGCCATCCTTGGCCGCCTTGATCTGAAGCCATGTATCACCCAGGGCTTTGGCAAAGTGGTCGTCCACGGAGCCCGTGATGGACACCGAGTTGGGCGCCGGCTCGGGCTCCTTGTAGTTCTTGCCCAGGCTCCTGCGGAAGTGCTCCTCCACCACGGGGTCACAGGTGGTGGTGGCTGTTGGGGGGTAGGACAGCAGTCGGTCAGGGCTCTGGGGACAGAGGGCCCGTCTCCACCCGCCCTAGCTGGGCATTTGGGCAGGTCGCTTCTCTGAACACGGCAACAACGTGCCACCCTGGACTAGGTGTGAGTTCAGAGAGTGCGTGGTCTTAAGTAATTGTAGATCTTGTCCCACTACAGTGGGATCCTGGAGGTTTCTTCCCTCTGTCCCACTCAAGCCAGACACAATGCTGGGTGCCTGTGGGCTCAAAAACAACCCACACTTTTTTGACCTCTATAAAACAAGCTCCATGGGGTAGTTGTTCCATCCACGGCACGATGCCGAACTGCAAACACTCCACTTGAATCCTACCCAACAAGGAAGCCCAAGCCCCCGCCCGGCTGCCTCCCGCCCCACACACAGGGTGACTTACAGCTCGGGGCCCTCCGGTAGCTGGCTGGCCCCGCCGCCACGCAGCCGCTGTGCGCGATGGGGCAGTGGGAGAGGTTACAGTTGCGGGTGCTGGCCGAGGCGCACGTGATCACCGAAGGCCGGTTCTGGGGAGAAGAGGAGGCTGGGGTCAGCTGCGGCTTTGGCAGGCCGACAGGGAGCGGCGTTGCTTGCTCGCCCCAGCCGGGACCCCAGTCCTTCCACACGCGGCGCAGCTGCGAGGGAGGACGTGTCTCCATGTCCCTCCGCCACCGTGGACGGGCACCCATCCTGCCTGCAGGGAACGCAGCTACTCCGCGCAAGGCCCTCATCAGCACCCTCCCCTCCTCTGCCGTGAGCGTGTCCCGCAGCCCTTCCTGATGAGAGACAAAGTGAAGCCCAGCCCGTCTGCTGCCTCTGACTTCAAAACTGAAGACAACCTGCTAAACCACAGCAAATTCACAGTGAGTGGGGCATCGGTGGGTATGTGAGAAGCCTTCACAGCCCCTCCAGTCAAGTCCCCAGAGCAGCCCAGTCCCTGCCTCTCTCACGGTGTGCCCTGTACCCCTCGGGGTGCTCTAAGCCATCCCAGGACCCTTCCGACATACCCCTGGTTTCTGCTTAAGCTAGAGACAGCTCCAGTCGGTTTCTACTATGACCACACAAATCACGATGGAGGCAGAAATACAGGATGTATCCCACCCCTCACCCCCTCTGCTCTGCCGATACTCTCCCCTGCCCCAAGAACATCAATACTGTCTGCCTGGTAAACTCTGCTCATCCTTTAAAACCCCATTCACCTATCCTCTCTGTGAAGACTTTTATGGCCACCTGCACGTTCAGCAAGTCAATCACCCCTTCTAAGTGCACCCAGAAGACACCAGCACCTGGCTCCTCTAGCCCAGGCACACTTGAGAGCAAGGACCAGGAAGCGTTTCTGGATCCCCAGACCTTGGCCTGGTATCCAGGACAGAGAAGGTCTGTGAATTAAATAGCTGCCTAAAGTTCCAGCCAGGAAAGACCTCTCCTGACAGTGCAGAAGACAAGATGGAGAAGGATGTGCCCTGAATTGCAAGACAACTGGAAGACAGCTGGTTGAAGGGCCACCCAGAGGGCCCAGGGGGGAGGGCAATGTCAATGTGAGGGGGATCAGGGCTCGTCCACCCCTGGCCTTCCCTTTAAAGATTTCAACCAGTAGCCAGGATAAAGATACAAAAAGCTTGCACAGCAAACCTTCCCATGATGGGAAATGAACAGGAGTGAAAAACACGTTCTGTGATAAAGATCTGGACCTACAAGGATGAGCCAGGACGTGCTTGGATCTAACATGAAATTACTCACATCCAAGATGGGGGAAGATGTGGCTTAGCAGCAGCACATTAAGGAAAAGTAGGGAGTTTCATTTATTAGCTCAACACATCAGCAATGGGGATGGAGTGAGTGTGACCCATCCCAGTATGGGCAAAAATGGCACCACGAGAACAAGGCCGAGAGGCCAAGTAGACCTGTGGTGAATGCCAGCCCTCCACTCATCAGGCAGTAGCCGCACCCCTCTATAGCCTCCATTTCTCCACGTGTGAGAAAGGAAGAGGAGCAGCTGCAAAGGGGTTGGAGGACCACCTGAGGTGAGGGGTTGGGGGCCAAGCCCGTGGTGACAGAGGAGTCCTGCCCTTCAGGGGCTGGTCATGCTTCCCATGGAGGACAGCCTGCAGCTTGAAGCCCACCTTCCAAAGGGTCTTTTTAATGCTGAGCCCGTGTTCTCCCCACCTCCTGACCTCCACGAGGCAGGACTAAGATAGCCGTGGCCAAAGTGACCTTGCCCCGTAGGCCAAGCTGGAAATCTGACCCAGGCACGGGGCCAGCTACTAAGCGAGACTCAGTAGGAGACTGAGATTGGTCTCAGGAGCCATGGGATGGCTGTGCCAAGCTGGCTAGGTGGGTGAGCAGCAGAGATCCGGGCTGGCGCAGAGCCAGGGGAGGGAGAGCCTGGCTTCCTCACCAGCTCTCCCAGGCAAGGGCCGGCCCTTCCTTCCTGATAACTGCTGTACCCATGACCCTGGGCTCCAGGAGACGGCCCGGGGTCCTCCCAATAAAACTCCCTTCCTTTTGTGCTTACGTCAGCTCAGGCTGGTTTTTGTTCCTTGGAACTAGAGTCCTGACTGACGCAATGTCGCAGAGTGGGGACATGTTTTGGAGAGGTGGTCACAGAAGGCAAAGAAATGTAAAGCGTCCTAGAATGAATTTAGAGAAGCTTGGAATAAAGCTAGAAGAATAAAGTCAACGTGCGGCCTTTATTTCAGCCACTCCCGGACAGAATATGGCCGCCTAGCAGGGGCCAGCAACACAGAACCACCGATGAACAAGGGGATGCTGTGAAGACATTCTAACTTCAGTCCTGGCAGCAGGTCATCTCTAGGGCACCTCCGGAGATGGAGGGAACACGGTGGCTGTGCACATGGACAGCAGGGGGCAGCCTCACCTCCTCCCCCCCCCCCCCCCCCCCCAACCCACCTGGCAGAGGGCTCCCAGGACAGGCTATACTACCACCCTCCTGTTCCGAGCTCAGGCCCATCTCCCCGACTCTGGCCGAATGCACGCTGTGCTTCAGCGCCACACACCCACCTGGAACAGACTGTGAGCTCACGGGATGCAAACTCCTCCCCCAACACCCTAGTTTTCCAGATAGAGAAACCAAAGGCCCGAAATGAGTAACTGCTGGAGCCTCCACAGCAAACCAGCAGCAGGGCCAGGCTGAGAATGTGTCACTCACACTCCACTCACTCCTCTCCCCACCCACATTGGCTGCATGTGGAACCGACGCTGCCCTGGAGAAAAGACCGACCACGTGAGAACCATCCCGATGGACGCTATCCCCCGGGTTAGTATTTAACCTTAGCCTGCATCTCCCCATTTGCTGTCAAAGCCACTCTCGCGGTCTCTTCTGGAGCTTCCTTTAGGACACACGATCCCCTCGGAGCCGCCATCACAAGAACACGAAGTGGGGTGACATTTTCTGCAGCCTCCCCAGACATGCCTCTCCGGGAACTTTCCTTTTCTGGTTCCCGGAGATGTGAGTCACATTTTCCACCCAACAGAGGAAGGCTTCCCCTGGCCGCCCTGCACCGCCTGTCCTGCCTGCCCACCGCACACAGCTGTGCCGCTGCTCCAGGAAGCCCCCACCCAGTCCTCTCCCTTGCTCAGAGCTGCGGGACGGCAAACTCACTTCCCCACAGGAGCCACCCTGACCGCTCACAAATAAAACAGAACCCCAGCAAATAGCCTCTGAGCTGACCGTGTTGCTCACCTCTGTGTGGTCAGCAGAGTACTGGGCACAGAACTCGGTAATGTCTGAGCAGTAGCTCAGGTTCTAGTGACCGGCCACACCACACCACACTGACAAAGGAGGGAGCTCATTGAGCGGTTACCCCATGAATGAAACACACATGAATGATAACCTTTGCTTCATCACCACCCCCAACGTTAAATGAAAGCTTAGGGGTGTGGCCACCACATCGGGGAAGCCAAAGGCTTCCCAGGAAAGCTGTCAGCCTGCCCCACAGCCATGGCTTTGTTCTCCATCCAGGGATCCCCTAAGAACTCAGGTGGGAATTCAAGGTTCTCAGTCCTAGAAAGCCTGCTCCACAGCCGCACGGCACATCGGACAGGCTAGGGACCTTCCTGCTGGGGGGCAGGGGGCAGCCAGGCACGTTTTACCGTAGGGTCAGGGAGACCACGGTAAAAGAGCCAAGTCACTGTGTCCAGCAGCATACTTCTCACACAGCAAATGTGACCCAAACCAACCAGAAGACCCTCAAAGTCATGGAAACCCATGATCCAAGAAACACTAAAGCTTCAGAGACAGCTGTTCTGGGCAGACATGGCTCCAGGGGCTCCAGGGAGCCTCTTCCCCCAAGCCACCATGGGCTTAGAGACTGATCTTCCCAGTGGAATCCCACCCCCACCTTGCCAAGGGACTCCCCACAGCAGTGGCTGCAGCCAGAGGGCTGAATTCCCTGTTCCTAGAATCAAATTCTCTGATGCCTAAAACACCTCTACTGTGGGCTCTGAGTGCAATCCTCTTTGCACGCACCCACTCCCCTGACTAGACTGCAAGCTCCTTCCGGGCTGGAAACGTATTCCACTCATGTGTCTCTGTACCTCCAGAGCTTTGCCGAGTGCCCGAGGCACAGGCAGTACTAGTAAGTGTGCAGTAAGTGGCTGTCTACAGATACGTTAATATAGTTATTTGATAACCAGTCTCCTCTACGCTAAAACCATGAGTGCCCTTATCTTGCCTGCCCAGCTTCTAGCATCCTCGTACATAGTAGGTATCTACCCCGTTCTGTTACATGAATGAACGAAACAAACGGGATGCAGATGTCTGGCTCCCCCGTGGGAAATGCAACTGTTCGTCAGCCTTACTGGATTCACAGGCACTGGCATGACTTCGTCTGATGCCAAGGCCCTGCCGACAGCAGTTACTACAGACTAGATCAGAGACTGGCGCCAGGCATGCTGGGCCAGCTGTGTCAGGCAGGGCGGCCGGAAGCCCAGTGACAGGCACTTCGGTGGGGGGCTGCAGGAAAGCAGAGGGGAGCCCAGAAGCAGAGCCTGGGCCTCCAGCTGCACGCAGCATCTCCTCAGGACCTGGCACCTTCCTCCACTCACTGCCAGTCGATCTTAAGCAAACGCTGACAGAGGGACCTATTAGGTCACAAGGCCCTAGCAGTTCAGAGAGAAACACCATGGGCTCATGCAGGGATTCCAAACCTCAATGCCAATGCTTCCTTTCGTATTTCCCCAGGAGCCCCATTTTTGAAATATTGGGTTTTTTAATCAAGCGAACTGTGTTTATTAAGTAATAATTTAATTTCCTTATTTTCCTTTAATAAAAAACATTCCTATCTGCCAATCACAGATTTCTCACCAGCATGAGCTAATAACCCCTCTGACCACTGACTTTATAGAATTCCAACCCAAAGCAAAGCAACCTGACATTTAACTTCGTCACAGTGTGACCTTGTAACAGGCCACCGCCTCCCTCACGGTCCTCTGCCCCGTGGTCTCCACCCGGGCCGCAGTCCCCACACCCCTGGACCGACGACCGGCCGCCAACCTGAGCCCTCCTGGACAAAGGCATACCTGCTGCCGCTCCGCAGGGGTCAGCGTGGGCGCGATGCCAGCCGGCCTGCTGGCGTCCATGCTGTTCTTGGTCAGCGCCAGGGGCTGCTCCATGCTGAGGCTGGGGAGGGACGTGTACAGGTGGTTGCCGTGAAGGCTCATGGTGGGGGCCACGGCACGCTCAATGGGGCTGCGGCTGCGCTCCCGGGGGTCTTTTCGGCAGTCTCCGTTGGCAGTCTTGTTCCTGAAAAAGAGGAATGAGCGCTCGGATGGAAACCCTGGCACGCTCTGAATGGCGAAGGGGAGACCGGCCTTGCGCCGGGCGCCTCATGCTGATTATTTAATTCCTCACCACACTAGGGAGAAATATCTCATCACCATCGTCATCTCCATTTGCCGAGGCTCAGGCCAAAGAGCTCCAGTAAGGCGAGGAACCCCCGTGCTCACCCAGGTCGGTGTGACGCCAGAGCCCCAGCGTCTGAGGTCGGCCATGTGGGGCCGTCCAAGCGAAGACGCCACCCCTCGGCTCAGCACCCTGCCCCTGCTCAGGGACGTGCTTGCAGAGCCCTTCCATAATAAACTCCGCTTGCTCGGAGCCTGGAGAACTCGCCTGCGTGCTCCAGGCCGGCTTGGTTTGACAAGGATCTGCCACTCGGCATAATCCAAAGTCACCAGATGCCTCCAACGTGGCGGATCGTGTTCTAAGCTTACTCCAGCAGCATTAGCTCTCTGGATCTTCCCCACAGCACGAAGGAGGCGCCGCAACTACTTTCTTTCCATGTGACAGAACCGAGACTCAGGGCTGTGGTGCCACACTGGCTGAGAACTGGTGCCGTCTGCCCCGGCTCCGAGCGTGCAGCTCTACCATCCAGAACATACCGACCACAGCAGTCCACTTGAGTGGACTTGAGGGAAGTCCCTCAACGGACACTCCCAAAGCCCTCAGCTGTGTGGAACATGGGTGGGGCTATAAACACCACCCCCACCTGCAACCTGAGTGACCCAGTCCAAAGGCAGCATCCTATATTGCATCTGTTAGAGAATGCTACAGCGTGGGTGACTGGCAAGGCACAGCCGATAAAAGACCAGGAACACCATTGTGGGCTCAGCCCAGGTCCCTCCTCCCCTGTTTATTCCTGGGGTTCTTTCTGCCTTGGGTCTCAGCCCCCACAGTCCACCATGTTCTTTACTGCCAGGACAATCTTTTTTTTTTTTTTTTGTAACAAATGAGAAGTCTTTTAACCAGAAATGTGGTGGGTAATTTCAATGACTTTTCTTTAAGGGATGCAAATTATTCTCAGAGTCCACAGCCACCATCCGCCTCAGGGGGCAGCCTGTTTCACAGCAGAGAAGCTTGGGCTCGTGCACTGAGAAACCCAGAGAAATCAACAGTCACAGCCCACCTCTCCGCCTGAATCAGATGAAAGGTAAGCTAGTATTTTATGCACCCAGGCATGCCTTCTCCCACTGCAGACTCACAGGCAGTTGTAGGAAATGAACACACGGCGATCCCATATACCCTTTGCCCTGCTTCCCCCATGGTGACGTAGGATGGCACCACACCCAGGCTACCCACACTCAATCTGAGCCCGTCTGATGCAGGTGTCCTGCTTGTTTTCATCCCAGCGTGAGCTCTGTATAACGCAGATCCGACCACATCACGCCCTTAGTTACAATTTTCAGCAGCTTGGCACCGCCTTCTCGCCAGAGTCCCGAAGGCCGACCACCTTCCCATCCTCACGCCCCCAAGCGTTGTGCTCTGCAGTTCCGACAGTCTACTTGCCATTCTTCAGGTAAGATGTGCCACTTTCTGTGGCTAATGGTGTATGTGTGTGCCCCCCCAACACACACACACACACACACACACACACACACACAGCACTCACTGCTAACCATGCCTGCAGCTTTAGGAGGTGTGCTCTGGATCCCCAAGTGCCCAAGCAAACCTTTACTAAAAAGCTCATCACACCAATATTAACAACGTCTTCACCTGCGCCCCCGCCCCACCTCTCCGGGGGCTTCCAGAACCACACCAAGCCCTGCTCATCCTGTACCCTCACTGCCCGGCACGCTACCCAGCATAGTAGGCCCACGGTCAGGACCGTGAGTGAACAAAAAGGAAGCCGTACACGGGTGACGGGGGAAAGAAAGGCAGGCCCCACGGCCACGGAACGAAGGATGGGCAGAATCGTGAAGGAGTGAGGGCAGAGGGGCCGCTTGCGAGTATGCTCACACCTTTCAGGTGGATTGTGTGCCGGGATCAGTACGCCATCAGGGGCTAGGTGGAAAGCGCAGGAGACGTGGCAAACTCCAGCCCCAAGCTTTAGTTCCACTCACCATCTCACAGGCAAGCCGCTCAGCCCAGTGCCCTCATCTACCATGTGTCACAGTACAATATGCCTCGGAGGGGTTTAAATAGGGACTGGACAGAATACAGACCCAATAATCGTACTAGCACAGGGCAAGTGAGCAGTGAACGCGGAGGGACACATCAGCTGTAAGCCTAAGTAATTCACTGTGTAAGCCACAGCTTTTCATTTATGGGTGATTTTTCTCCCTCTTATCCTCTGGGTTGACTATATAGAATGACTTAAAAGCAGTTCGAGAATAAATTTTCAGCCTATTAAGGCAATCACGGGAGAATATGTTCTGGTCAAACAGTTCCATATATGCCACATATACCCCAACAATTTTCGAAGAATTACAAAAACCAAACCAAACAAAAAAACCTTAATTTTGAAACCAGCCTGTCCACAATTCCATCTTCCTGTGATGATTCAGAAGACATTACAGGGCTTCCCAACGAACGCCTCCGGGGCTATGAGAGCAAACAGCCATAATCACACAGCATAGGCCGTTTCGCTGGACAGACTTCCAGCCAGTCGAACCCGAGATAAACTGGACTTTACCTAAATGGAAATTTATCGCTAAACACACAATTTATCAGACTACGGAAAAACTACATTGTCACAATACTCCTCTTCAGTATCAGGTTTTCTTCTCAATCTGGATAAGACGTAATGCTTGATAAGGTGCGTGAACTGCTTCCCTGAGACTATCTTCTCCCTGCCCGCCAAAATGAGGTTCCTGGAGCCTACCGAACACACTCCAGAAACTCCGGACGGAATGATGAGCTTCCCAGTCCGAATCTGCCTCTGTCCAATTCAGACTCCAGTTTTATCAAGTAAGGTTGACTGAGCCCCTATCCTGTGAAGGCCACAGAAAGTAAGGCACATCCCTGCCTTTTCACAGGCTCATGACCTGGCTACAGCAGAGAGGCCTGGGGAGGGGCCAGGCTCACACATGACAGCTACAGCCCCGGGGAAGCCAGCACGTGCCACATCACAGACAGGGGAGAATGCGGGAAAGAGCCAAAGGATGAAGAGTCGCCCAGGCTGGCGGGAAGAAGCAGCCTGAAGCTCAGGCCGTACGTACCTGTGACCATCCATCCAATGTCAGAGTCACCAGCACAGACCTACTATAGCACCGGTGATCATCCGAATCTCATGCCCAAGTGGCACTTCAATAGTGACAAGGCGCAGTGAGGTTTATCAACCCAGCCGGGCCTCCGGACAGTCAACTGAAGCGCGGGGATTAGTAAACCACGTTATAGGGGAAAGGGATGCCCCAAGGCAGTAGTGAATGGTCTAAAGGCATCTGGCTAACAGCGCAATGCCATATCCACAAAGTGTGCCCCCGAAACCCGCTCTGCACCCACACCGCCCTGGGGAGCAGGAGACGAGAACTCTGGGAAAGCTAACCAGAAAACTGATCAGCTGCAAACATGACACAGTGGGACATCACAGATCAGACAAGACACTGAAAACACAGAAAGAAAACGTCTAAAGTACCTGGCATTTAATTTTAGTAAAATTATACATTACTCACATTTCCAGCTCACTTTCCTGGTTCCCGGAGCTTAACGACAGACACTGTTTTCCATGTTTCCCCCTCCTCCAGTGAATCATACCCAAGGCTCCACTGTTTCCCAGAGCATCATGTGCTCTCACGGACAGCAGACAAACCGCATGCTTCCTGCCTGCCAGATCCAAGTCGCCCCCGTCGTAGTTAAAGACAAAGTTTGCTCAGGAAAAACCCACTGCAGCCCCATCAGAGCCTAAAGGGCTCCCAGGTGCCTTGATGCCACGGCCGGGCTGCTGCCTCCGATGCACCCGGCCCCCTTCCTGAGAACCCACACTCATCCTGGGGCGGGATTGCCAGTGCCAACTGTTTCAGGAGAGAAAACGGAAAGGCGGGTGGGTGTGTGTCCGTCGGCGGGGGAACAAGGGTAAAGAGGTGGTAAAAAAGAAGATGCCTATTACACTTTTTTCCAGGACAAAGCGTTCCGGGGAATGGACACCACATGCTCCCTCTGCCCTCTCTGAGCTGAGAAATCAGAAGTGTCTACTGTGCTTGGGGAAAAGTAAGCTGGATTCCAAGCACTGAGACTGTGAAAGAATCACGTGAAGAAAGTGCACCGTGTCCATTTGTATTCTCATTAAAATGGGATTCCTGCCCTTAAACAGGAGCTTGGACCTGAAACCAAACCCTTGGGAAGGTACTACTTGATATTCTTGGGCCCTGACTGAATTCCATTAACTACTGACGGCCATTAAATAAACCAATGTGAGTCCGAATTCCTCCAGCAGGGGAAGGGATCTGTGTATAAGACATTGTAGGTGTTGCTTTCAAGGAAATATTCTGGGCCCAAAGGCCCCCATGCTGCAGGTCTCTCGGCCCAGGTGGGTGTGGTGGGGCCCACTCAGACCCCAGGCCCAGGTCCCGGTGACACAGAGAACATCCCTGAAGTGACAGAGTGCCCTGCAGGGTGGGGCACCAGACCAGTCCTGGTGGGGGTGAAGTGAGGGTCTGTGGCAGCCTCCACTGGTGCACGAGGGCTTAGTGCAGACAGAGCCCTAAGGACCCAGGAGCAGGGGTGAGGTGGGGGGAGGAGCCCATGGGGTGAGGGTCGCAGCCAAGATGCAGACCTCTCCTCAGCATAGTGCTCCTGCTCCCATTTCACTCCTCACAGGAATGGTCGCCCTCTGGGAACGAACAGGACAGTTCACAGTTCGTGAACAAACAAATGTTCACAGTCTAGCACAAACAATCAGCTCAGTAGAGCAGCTTTGGTTTTAAAAAAAGCTTCCTCAAGACAACATACTTAATGCCACTGAATGGAACACTAAAAATGGCTGGGGGTGGGCGGGTGGGGGAGCGGTGCCTAAGTGGCTCAGTCAGTTA